CCTTCCTTCCTTCCTTCCTTCCTTCCTTCCTTCCTTCCTTCCTTCCTCACTCCTTCCCTCCTTCCCTCCCTTCCCCTCTCACTTTCTTTTTTCCATTTTCTTTCTTTCATGTGTATGTACACATACAAGAACAGGTCAGAAGGAACTTGTGGGGGTCTGTTCTCTCCTTTTACTCTGTGAGTCGTGGTGATCAGACTCGGGATGACAGGCTTGGTGGCCAGTGCCTTTACCCACTGAGTCATCTCACTAAGGCCTCTCATTGCTAAATTTGGTATTTGTGGCTTCAAGCCAGTATATACTTACTATAAACCATTGCTGAACACCATGTTACATGGTAGAATGTGATACTCTACCATACAAATAAAGGTTGAATAAAATAGGATAAAGGACTAAAGGTATGACTTAAATTATTTTCTAATCCAGAATTTAAAGTACCCATTGCATGTTTTAAGTGATATTTTTTCTTTTGCTATTTATAATTCTTATTCTACAAACTTAATTAGTTATCTATAATAACATTAGAAAATTTGCCTATGTCAAAATGTATAAAAGCCTTTCTGTAAATATGAAAACAAATTATTTATTATTTTGGGTTTTAAAAAATAATAAATTCAATATATTTTTGAGAAAATAGTAGCAAGTGTTAGTCTGAGTTCTTTAAGACACTCAAGTGGCTTGCCAGTTTGAATTGGATTGGGTAGGAGCAATGGCTTTGATGGGAAACTTTGTTTGCTTCAGGGACACTACAGGTAAAGTCAGCATAAGAAAGTTATGATCATGAGGTTGGCCCTCCCTCCCCCATACTGTGGGCTTTACTGCGAACTAGCAAGCTTTGCTCATTTATTGTGGCTCACCTTGGGCTCTTGAGGGAGAGGAAGGAGAAGAACTAATGAACGACTTCGTAAATGTGGAGCTTGATCCTGGGAGGTCTGCCCGGCTGGGGCTGGTCCTGCTCACATTCTGATCCCCCAGGCCTCTGGGTGGGCCCACGGCAGGTTCACTCTTCCTCCGCTTCCGAAAGTCCCCAGCCATGCTCGCAGAGCTGACGGACGGAATCAGTGTCATTTGACTGGGATTGGAAGAGGTTAACACATGCACAAGGAAACTGAGGGTCACGCTAGATAAAGGCACAGCACCTAACCTTCCACCCACAGAGCTGCGGAGTGGGAAATTCATGCCTCCACGTTCAAAATACTTTCTGTAGGTTCGTCTTGTTAAAAAAAAAACAAACCATATCAATCTCATTTTAAAAGGGAAGCTCCCAGTTACAGATATTTGACTAGACTGTGTAGGCTCTTCATATTCATAGGTTCAACCAACTGCACACTGGAAATATTAAGAATTGGATTGCTACTGAACATGTACAAACTTGTGTTTTTATTCCCCCATGCGATCCACTATAATAACCACTTATTTAACCTTCACTCATTTTTACTTTATGTGTATGAGTGTTTTGCCTGAATATATGCCTATGTACTGTTCTGAGTGCCTGGTACCCATGAAGGACAGAAAAGGATGTAGGATCCCCTTAACTACAGTTACAGATGGTTGGGAAGTGTAAGTGTCAGGTGGGGGCTGGGAACTGACCATCGTGGGATCTCTTCAAGAGTAGCAATTGCTCTTATCCACGGAGATATTCTCTAGTCCCAATGACCCATTTTTATAGTATTTTTGTTGTATGAGTCTTTATACATATTTCAGAGTGTATAGGAGGCCAGAAGTAGGTTATGGTAATATTTTTTGAGACAGAGTTTCTCTGTGTAAGCCTCTGTCCTGCCCTGGAACTCACTCAGGCTGGCCTCGAACTCACAGATTCACGGGCTTCTGCCTCCTGAGTGCTGGGATTAGGGATGTGTACTACCACTGCTCGGTGGTGTAAATATTATGTCATTTATATAAGGCACCTCTGAGTCAGTAGATTTTAGTATCCTTGGTGATACTGAACCAGTCCTCTGCCGAGACCAACAGACAATTGAGCAGAGATCTCCCCTATGCCCATCCCTTTCTTCTTGAGCATCTTTCTCTTTACATCATCTATGGACACACGCAATAGCTAATGACCCTATCTGGATATGTCATCTCTCAAAATCTGTCTTCTATATACAGGGTTTGTGCTGTCTCTGACATACTTTACGGGGTTGTAAATGTGTAATGAATGCGCCCATCGGGATCGCGCCTTGTAGAGAATAATTTTGCTCCTACCAAAGATCCATTGGATATCATTTTCTCAGCTGTCTCTCTGGCTTTGTGTTTCCTAAATGCTACTGATCTTGTCTGTATGAACCATCGTCCCCAAATGTTACACAGCTGGAATCAGACAACATGTAATCTTTTCAGATTGGTCTCTTCCATTTAGTAATGTTCTTTAGAAAGACACTATTTTGTGTGGCTGGAGAGAGGACTCAGTTCCAGCACCTACAGCTGACAGGTATTTGTATATTTTGTCATGACTATCTCCAGTTCCATGGGATTCAATGCCCTCTTCCTGCATTCAGACACCTGCATGCCTGTGACACACATGCATGCACTCAGGCACATAAAATAAATGCTTCAAACATCTCATGTAATCCAGGCTGGCTTCAGACTCACTATGTAGCCAAGGATGACTTTGAGTTTCTGATTGTCCTGCCTCTGTTTACCAAGTGCTGAGATTACAGACTTCTATCACCACACCTAGATTTAATATGGCATTGGGGACTGAACCATGGGTTTCATGCATGCTAGACAAACATTCTCCCAACCACACTATGTCTCCACCTTTCTCCATGCCTTTTTGTCACATGATAGCTTATTTCTTTTTATTGTTAAATAATATTCTATTATATAGATGGGACAGAGTTTGCTAACTCTCTAACTTACCTAAGAAATAACATCTTCATGGACTCTAGAACTTGGCAATTTTGATAAAACAATTTTTGTAAACATCCATATGCAGGTTGCATTCTCTCTCTCTCTCTCTCCCTCCCTCCCTCCCTCCCTCCCTCCCTCCCTCCCTCCCTCTGTGTGTGTATCTTTGTGTTTATAATCACCCTTTAAAGTAAAAATTGCCCTACAGTGAACTTATTGTTACAATTCCTATTTGTTTCATATATATATTTATATGTATATATATTGTTTCTGTATGAAAGAGAGTTCTGACAACATGACTCAATCTAGAAGGAAGAACATGGAAGAAAGGACTATGAAAAATCAAACCATCTTGCAAAACAAGTCTCCTTTACCTTAAGGACTTTTTTTTTTCTTACTCAATGTGTTCAGAAGAACTTTAGGCCAAAATTCCAATGTTTTTTATTTAAATCACCAGAGATTAAAAATCTAGTCAGCAAGTAAACTGTTAAAAATTCCTTTACACAACTGTAGAGAATGGTGTTGATGGTTTTAAAGAAAAGGAGGTTGTTGTTTTTTTTTTTAAATCAGTGTTTCTCAGCAGGGTATCATTTAAGGAAACATCCGTAAATACTTGGATACATGCAATATACTGTCCTCCACGTCACTGTCATTATGTAAGCAACCGTGACGACACTGGATGTAGCTCCTATGCCATCTGCTGCCTGCATTTTATATGATTCTGTGGAGTATTATGAGTTATCGCAGAGTGGACACCCATGCCTAGAAGTGTGGAAATGGATGCACCCGGCCTTCAGAACTGACCTCTCGTCCCCTAAGGAGGCTGTCTTGTCATTGGTATTTGGTGTTCTATTTCTGTCCTCCTGTGTGAGACTCAGGGTGTCTTCATAGCAATCTTTAGGTCAGACTAAAGTTCTAAAGTTTAAGCATTTCAAATACTTTAGAGGTACACATAGATGTAAAAATACGGCAATGGGGATGGGGTGGGGATGCCTTTCTTTGTGATATCAGTGTAGTTAGGAAACGCTCACAATCCCAATTTATGCTCGACCTAAGTCACAAACGGTTTTACTTAGGTTGACACAAACCTGTAGAAAGACAAAGTACCATTACAGAACTGACTGTTGATGATACACTATGACTGTGAATCTGCTATAGGAATTGATATTGAACTCCATCTGAATTTTGGTGATAGTTTCAATTAGGTCTGATATTTAAAACCTACGAATGGAGCTTAGATTGGTTGGCTTGGACAGTTATGATCAGAGGCGACAAGTTAGCCTGTTTTAGTCTGTTCTCCCCCCTTCCTTTCTGAACTCAGTCAGTTGCTGAGCTAAAAAAGCTGGTGTCTTCAGCTCATGGTGTCATAATGGATTGAATATGTTCATGGACTTGGGATGCCTTGAGATGTAGTGAAAACATTTATCTGTGTGGTCAAAGTATAATTCACAAGTACCAGTCATTTCTTTATAAAATGTTTCTAAAGCAAGATTGAGAATTAGTTATTTTCAACCCTCGTTGGAACAAAAGAGGACACAGGAGGCAAAGGCCACAGTGGGAAGAACTGACCCCTGTGAAGGAAGCCAGAATTACATTGTCGAGTTTTAGCGAATTCTTGGGTGAGATATTTTTTTTTCTTGGATGAGATCTTATAAAGTTATATGCAAACCCAGAAATCAAACATGAGGTCTGGTACTTAAAATAAGAAAGAGAAAGAATCACATGATCTTCATCAATATTTCACTAAGGAAGATTACTACAAAGGAAGCAAGCGCTGGCATAGAATATTTTGTTAGTGTGATGTCGTGAGATCCTTACCTGCTGGGTCTTTCTAGGCTTCTGTCAATGGAGGGCTGATAGATGGAGGCCTGTGAAGACAGAAGAACAGGCTCATGAAAATAATTACTATAGCAGATTCCATATATTGGTCACCGTTGAGTTTTGTATTCTAAAAAGAATACTTTAAGATTTAGAGTCTAAATATTGCGATCGAAAGAATCATTTATTGTGGTTACAAAAATGTCTTTCCAAAAAGGTAACGTGTCCTTGGGTTCCATTTTTACAAACTACACTGCATTCTGTGGTGTTAGTACAATCAAGACATTCGTTTCATCAGGAAAAAGAAGAAAAACAAACAAAAAAACCAGTAACATTATCATCAGGAGCTGAACTGAATGAAGGGTTAAATGTATCTCCGGCACTAACTTCAGGCTCGCGACAACTGCTGAGATAAACAAGAGCTTCCTCTATGAAGGACTGACTTTATTTGTAGGAAAATATTTGCAGTCCTCACTAACTCCTTATAAACGTAAAGTTCTTTATAATTTCATTGTTATTGCCAGTTGGTATCTTGAAAATAAAGCTTTGAAGGTCTTTCTTATATCAACACACCTATTATTTTCGTAAAATGCGATGCACAGAATTCGATTGGAGATTAACCTAAATTACCTGGGACTTGAGCCAGGTACAGATTTATACACCTTGAGCAATTTGAGTTTGGAATTAGTTTCAGATAAATGACCGGATGTGCCAAGGTATCCAAGATACACTTCTTTAGAGAGCGTGCTTTGCTTATCTCATGCTGAACAGCACAGCAAAACCGATACTGCACAAAAGCAGGAGGTAGGACGCTTTCATTTTACGTGGCTGGTTCTGAGACGCTTGCTGAAATATCCAGATTATGGGAGAGGGTTGGCGTTGAGTTTCTGAGGGGACATTGCAAGGTAGAAGTAGCCGTGTTGGGATCTCTACACTCATAGCAAAGCTCTTCCCACTGAATATATAAGCTTTTGACTTTGGTCATGCTTAGTGCTCAATTCATCATCATAGATGAACTGTGGTTTGTTGAAAATGGAAATTGTATTTTGAAAATGTTTATCTGAAGGCCTAAAACTGTCAACCGCAAAGGCAAGAGTTGAATAATTTTGTCTTAAATTCCTATAGAGAGATTTTCTTATAAGAATATTAAAAACCTGTTTCGATTAAATGACTCATTTTATAAATTATTTCTCATACTTTTTTGATTAACTGGTAATAATACTATCAGTTTCCCGATTAAAACACTAGATTATAACTGACAGGCCTCATGCATAATATTTTGCTTTAATTCTATATTACTGATTAAAAATGGAATTTTACCCATATTAAAACAAAGGATCTTTTGGCATGAAAACATTCCTTCCTTATTTTGGACAGAAAAAAAATATTTAATATTTTTACTACTTAGAAAATTCTTAGATTCCTATGTTCTCAACAAACATGAGAGTAGAAAATCACTCTGCTATGTCAGTAAGTTTAAATAATTATCTGCACTTATCTAAATTGGATACTGGAAAGTAAGGGAAACACAGGAAAGAAGAGAGGAAAGCAGTGAAATGCTATTACAGAACTCCACATGCTTGCAGAAGTGCTATCTGGGTGCCGCTGAGTACCGCCATCTCTGGGCCACAGGCCTCATGGGACAGCCTAACACATAGCTGACCTCACAGGGTCAAATTCAGGATGTTCTTAGAATATTCATGATAAAATCAGAAATATGAGCCCCTAGTTAAGATCAGCTTGGTTAACACTGTAATATGAAATAAAACACTGTGTGAGAACTGATAGTGTGTTTCCGAGTTAAGACAGAGTTCAACCACTCTTCCTCGCTCTGTTTTCCATAGTCCACACACGTTAAAACAAGTTTAAAGATTTTAAAAGCATTTAGTGTGGATGTGGTGTGTGTGTGTGTGTGTGTGTGTGTGTGTGTGTGTGTAGGTGAGAACATGAGGAAACCAATTCTCTCCTTTACACCACATGAATTCTGGGATAAAACTCAGGTCATCTTGCTAGCCTAAAAAAAAAAAATCATGCTTTAATTTTATGTATCATAAGAGAAACTTCAGTTGTCAATTATAAGGTAATAATAAAAATCGAGATTATTAAGGCAAAACCTTGTACAATAATTCCAGCTGAGAAAATGAGTCCCAAGGAAAGAACTAGTCATTTCCCAGACAAACGTTCGGCATTGTCATCTGATCACCACTTTAACACATTAGAAGGTCATTTCAAGGACAGGCAGACATTAAATCATTCTTTCTGATAAGAAATTATTGATTAAACTTTGCAAACTAGTTCTTATCTATTCTTTTTTAAAAAAATCTCTTTCAAATTTGCAAAGTAAAGGCTTCATTCTGACATTCGCAAACAAATGTCTTAGTTACGTTTGACTTAAAAAATGTCATTTGTAACATACACTTGATAAAACCAGATACTTGATCCGTGATAGCTTAGGCATTATCAAATAACTGCCGTTTTTCTTACTAGAAATGTCATATAAAAGTTATTAAAAGCAGAATCAAAATATCTCATGGGAATATATTTTCTTACACTCTGAAAGGCCATGTTTTAAATTAACACCCTAGTTAACCATGCTATTAAAGTCACTCATGTCTCTCAGCCCCTAAAGGTAAGGACACGGTTCTGCTGCTATCAGATTGCTTTTATGTGTAGTAGTTTGGCCACCACCATAACATAAAAAGGGCATTAAATTAAATTGTTTTCATCTCTGTGCTCACTAACTACTGTGCATTGTAAATTCCTAGAAACCCATTTTACTCAAATTCAATAATTAAAAAATAGTTTCTAGTAGAGCCAAGCTTTAAGTACATCTATTGGGGATGGCAAAAAGTGGGCCATAAAGGAAATAGTTTTGAAACGAAGGCTAAGCAATTAGTAATTTATTCTCTTGGCAGCCATCTTAGCAGGCAGCGTCAGATCTCTCCTTTCCGGTTAATCCACCCTGCTTTTCCTAACTAGAAAGCCAATGAGTTAAATGTGATGTTTTCTAAGTTCTATCTCAAAATTAATAAGTCAACCGCTTTGAAAAAAAATTCCAGAAATAATAATAATAAAAATTTCAAAAAATGTTGATTTATTTATCTAAACACATCAGAATCACACTGAACAACAAATAACACAAACAACAACACAACCAACAAATGGAGCCAGGTGGTGGAGGTGCACGCCTTTGATCCCAGCACTTAGGAGGCAGAGGCAGGCAGATCTCTGAGTTCAAAGTCAGCCTGGTCTACAGTGGGAGTTCCAAGACAGTCAGGGCTATAAGGAGCATCCTTTCCCTGTCTCAAAACAACAACAACAACAACAAAGTACCTAATATCTTAAAGAGATTTCTCCTTATCAAATGGATTATAAATCTAACAAAAGTCTATCAACACAGTAACATAGTTTCGGTGTGGAGAACTCAAGAAAAATATTTGATTGAATTGAATTTCAAAATAAATTCTTAGGTTGTCCATATGATGATAAAACATACAGAATAGAATTGTTTGCTTTATTTGATTCTCTTTAGAGAGCAGGCTTAGCTACAAAATATTACTGAATCCAATACTTCAAAAACTTCCTGATTGATAGATTTTACTTTTTATTGGATAAGTCTTTTCAGCTACTTTCCTGTTTTAACACACACCATGATGCTTATTAGATGATCTATAATTTGGTGTTGCAGATTAAATCTTTGGAAATTTGAGTATTTCCTCTTCCAACTCCATGCCTACAATCATCCCCAATGTGAGTCATCCCAACTATGTATCCTTAGCATGAATTCCTGGCTTGTATCTTGCACATAGTTTAAATAAGGCTTTGCAGTGGAAGTAAGATTTTTTTTTTCAGTGTTGCATTCGCTTAAGAATACACAGTAACTATTCTGAGAAACTCAGATTCTGTGTGCTTCTATCCTGCCTGGCTACGTCAGAGAGTGCCCACGGGAGGCTTTTATCTGCCTGATAGCTAATACAACAATGACATATCTGCTTGTGTTTTCTAAGTGTTTTGCAAAATAACCTTCTGGTTTCCTTGTAGAGGGCAAACTTTGGCTTGGAACCCTTTAGTTCCTTTTCATACCATCTTTTCCTTAACCAGGTTAAAATTTATGTAGCTTGATATAAATTCCTCACCTGCTGATTGGCTGATTTTCATAAGCAATATTATCATTTTTTTATAAGAGCTACTTATTTTTAGTTTATGAGTGTTTTGCCGGCCTGCATGCCTGTGAACCATGTGTATGCCTGGCGCTGGTGGAGGCCAGAAGAGGGTGTTGCAAATGGAGTTGCGGATGGTTTTGAGCTGCTATGTGGGTGCTGGGAACCAAAGCCAGGTCCTCTGCAAGACCACAGGGTCATCACTCCAGCCCTACCCTTAAGCGTTCTCCAGCAGAGACTACACCTAAGTCCTGTCGCATAGGGCAGTGCAGTGGCTGTCTGCAGTCGTGGCTGTCTGAACTACAACAGAAGAGTTAGTGCTGCCTGCCAACGCTGTGGATCTGGGAAACCGGACCACATAGGCCAGGTTCTCCTCATCTTTATTTATTTATTTGCTTGCTTTCTTGCTTGTTTTTATTTTTCAAGACAGGGTTTCTCTATGTCGTTTTGGAGCCTGTCCTGGAACTCGCTCTGTAGACCAGGCTGGTCTAGAACTCACAGAGATCCTCCTGCCTCTGGCTCCCGAGTGTTGGGATTAAAGGCGTGCGTCACCACCGCCCAGCTTTGCCATCTTTATTCTTAACTGATGGCAAAGTTCACAAGTTACAAGCATTTAGCAAACGAAAGATTAGCCACATTTCGAAAACTATAATGAATAAGGGTCTGATTATGTAAGAAACAGAACTTTGTTTAAAAACCCATTCTTTCTGTGTGGGCGCAGCACACTTGACATAGCATGAGAGGGCATGCTCTCTTCATGGACAGTGGAAGACTGGCCCTGGGCCTTCACAGCAAATCCTTTCACCTAAGGTGCCATCTCCATAGCCCAAGAACCTCGAGTCTGGAGTCTGCACTTCTAAACACAATGGAAAATTGCCTTCTAGAAGCCTTTCAGTAGTCCTCTTCTCAGTTTGTGAAAATGGGCAGTCAATCCCTGCTCAAGTTAAGGAGTTGGTTGTTTTTTTTTTTTTTATCATGCTGCTGACTATTTTAACTGGAATTCACAGCTGGAAACACTCATCACCTGGAATTCAGACATAGCCAACCCCATTTACACTGTCTAGGTAATGCTACTGCACGCAACGTAGTTCTACCAAGAGTTTTCAAAACCAGCTCGGACAACACAGGGGACTATTAAAAACACGCGTGTTCAGACTGATGGTAACAACAGGGGCGGGAGGGATCTGGAAGGAGAGAAGAATTTGTCTTTACCTCATCGGGAACACCGGAAGAATGATCTTGAACATAATCCAGAGGCTTTTTAGGAGGCTGGGTGTAGGCGCACCACAGAAGCAGAGGTGGAGAGATGGGATGGAGGAGAGTCAATGGCAGCGAGTAACGAACATGTGGAGAAGGTGACAACAGTTAGAAACCGAGTGCTGACAGCATCAGATACACACAAAGAGGGACATGGATGGAGCAAGATGCCAGCCGAGGAGGAGGAGTGCGTGTCTGTCAAGATTCCCAGGCACTGTGCAAAGCTGCGTGGGCTCGGTTAGGAAATTTGGAGACTGAAATCATCAGATCCAAATTAGCACTCCAGGTCATTGGCTCCAGCAGATTGCAAGGGATATTAAAGAAACACCAGAGGCGTAAGTGGACAGCATGCAGGTGGGTGTCCTTGTGTGACTGAGGTTTGCAGAAAGTGCTGGTAATTCAGGCTCAACCCAGGAATCGGTATAGTTTCTGGAAACTCTACCCCAAAATAACAGAGGCATAAAGCAAAACAAGAGAGCGTTTCCCCAACGAAACAAAATAAATTTTAATAAGAGGAGTTACCAGGAAAAAACAGGAGGAAACAATCCTCTTATTAGGTAATAGAAATGCCAGGAAATTTTGTTTAATATTCACTTACAGTCATATTTGATTTAGTTCAATAAAACATACAACAAGGCCAACCAAAGACTGCATTTTAATGTATAAAGAGGGCTTTCAGAGCCATCCAGTAAGGAATATGTGATTGGCATATTTATAAATCCTTATGTGATAGGAGAAAGAACACATTCTGAGTTCTTATAAAATTGCTGGGCAGTGTAAGTTACGTGCTAGTCAACAGTTCAGGGCTCGTGAAAAGGCATGTCTTGGAGAACATGAAACCCACAAACAATTCCTCAATGGAGATGGGGTAGTTAAAGGGAGCTATGTGAAACCTGAGTCCAACCTGCCCCAAACAGCCCACTCAGATCACATGAGGGCCAAACTGTGGCCTTCCAACATGGCACTCTGCTGATCAGAGACGTGTTGGTGGCTCATGAGCGAAACCATGAATCAAGGTCCCCTGGGCTTTGAATGCTTTCCCTTTGTCACATCTCTTCTATTTAAAGAATCATTATACAGTGGGAATATACATTATCATTATACAGTGGGAATATACATTATCATTATATAGTGGGAATAATGGGAAAATTCTGGTAATACATTATAGTGGGAACTGCCCAGAGATTCAAGATGTTGACTTGGGATCCACGTGCTCTCTGGTGGCTTGATAATTCCTTAGCAAACAAGAACTGTAGTAACAGTCATTCTTGTGGATGGCAAGGTACTGCTGACTGTTAATCTAGACCAAAATGTGCTGGGCACAATGCAGCTCTCCCCTAAGCTACCTCAACATGATAGATTTGCAATTAATTAGATGTGATTCTAATGCATGATTAGGAGAAAACATATAGGAAGCAAATGGGCACATTTAGGCATTTGGTGCAAAAGTGAATTTGCACACAGCTGGAGCACACATATTTTATGCACCCAGCTTTCGCTCTCGACATGACAAGTCTCCCATGTGACAAGAATATGCTTTAGAAATCAAACAACATCCTCCTATTTGTCTTATAGCAATTGTCTAACCTCACTTACCGGGCGTCCAAACTCCAGTTCTGAAAAGAATTTATACCAGGGTTCATTTTCTAAGTCTATGTCATCTGGATTTATGCGACCAGTCTAGAGCAGATGTGAAGGAAAAGGGAAGGAAAAGGCACACTGAGCGAAGTGAGGGAAAACGGCGTGGGGTACGAGAACGCACACGCATTCACACGCAAACATGCATCCGACTCATCCAGGACAGAATGGAGAAAGTAAGGTACCATGAGCAAAATGAGGACATGAAAATGAGGGTCCATGGCATTGCTGGGGTCACCAGCACTAATTCTTTAGCCTAATACACGAACTAGGGGAAGTATCCTGGCAGTGACAACGGGGAAGGGTGGCACGCTAGACTGTGAAGATAGGACCAAAGGAGGTAGCAAGGGGCTCTCCTGATTGGTCAGTCTGCTGTCCCTAAAGTCACTGGCAGCTAGCAGTGGCAGCAGAGGTCTGCAGTATGCAGACATTGCAGATGGGGCGAGCTAGGAGCATGGAATGGTGGAGATGAGGGTTTTCCTGGGAGGAAGGTAGGGGTCTAGGAGCGGGAAGAACCCCAGCAGAGACGGGATCTGACCATGCCTTAACCTCGGAAGAAAGGCTGAGCTCTGCTTCCCCACAGCATGAGAGAAGGTGAAGAAGGAAGGAGCTCACCCGGGTGGGAGAGAGAGCTGGGGCGCTCGGACTCTGACGGGGTGCGGGGACACAGCTCCGGGGTGGAGGGGAAGGGCTACGCAGGCCATCTGTCGAGGGTGACACAGAGAGAGGCTTCCGGCTGGGTTCCCTGGGAACAGGTGTCGGAGTTGGTGGGACAGGGGGCTGTAAGAGAGAGGGGTGAGGAAACACTGGTTCGTTAGACAGGGGCCCTTGCTGAAACCTGGAGGACACCAGCTCAGCTGGCGTTAGTCCTGGAGACTGACATTCAGGAGGGGGCTGCGGCTGAGCAGATTCCTTAAGAACGGCCCACCACAGCGAAGATCTCAACTTCACAAGTCTCTCCAAAAGTGAAGAAAGATCCCATTTTGTGATTTAGTTTCCTCATGCTGACTTGAAGCTAAAGGAGAGTTTGGGTAGAATCGAGCTTTTCACAGTAGGTCAGGAAGGGGAGGTAGGGTATAGGGTATGACTGACTGGCATCTCAGGTGGTTTATGAATGCTGCGGTGCAGACAGAAAAGCTAGGGGTGTTAACACAAACAGTTGAGAAAAAACAGATACAATTATTTTAGCAATAGAACACAGACATCCAGCCTTTCCTTAACCCAGTAATACCCTTAATGCTTTTAATAATACATACCCAACTAGCTGGGGTCATGCTGGTTGTTTTTCTATAAAACGACACTTGAAGTACCATATATGTGCATAGCTACTTCCTGGGTAATCTCACGTCCCTAATTAAATGTATATAGTTGCATAGTGCAATATACTAAGACTAAAAAGTTTCGTTGGTTCCCTAAAAACCATTCACTCCAGCCCAGAGAAAAGGTCTGATACCCACACTACCATCCAGGAGGTCTGCTAAACACCCACTACTCCAACCCCATATCATTCTCTTAGAATTCTTACGGATCTCAAAAGTTCCCACTGAGTAGCTCTATAATGCTATAACGCTGGGGTCATTAATATTCCACATTCTGAAAGAAGCCACTGTTTTGTCCTGAGCTTTGTCATCAGCATTGCATTGCCATTATATCTATAATAGCTTTATTAATGCCATTTAGTCTACAGCGAGTGATACATTATTCCCACAACAGTTTCAGTGGTATAGTTTTCTTCTGATATCTTTATGATAGAAGGTGGTGACCTTATAGTAACTGCACACGATGATAGAAGTGTTTGAGGCATCATAGCAAAATAGTGCAGAGGCCAAGCATTTGCATTGTATATAGCAGTAGAGTAGCAAATATAAAGACTGGAGAGCAACGCTGGGATATGCATGGGACTGATGCTGAGCGTTTAACACTCCATTATAGCACTCATGTGCAGTGGTTGATGGCATCCGTGAGTGGGAATCTGGATGGGCACACGAAGGAATGCTTATGTACACAAAATATTTCACTGTCAGTCAGGCACAGAAACTGCCTTTTTAATATTATTTTACTTTTAGTTATGAGGTTATGTTTCCATAAATAACAACTGAAGCGGCTATTCTATTAGAATGAGAAAATGCTGCAGAAATTCTCGAGATATTTACTCCAATTTGTGTCGATATTACTTCTGGTTTCCACTTCAGAGTTAACTGAGCAGTCTGTAGAAAGAACAGCTTCCAGTAACCTATTCCCATTGAATTTAGAAAAAAAAGGATTTGCAATAACTGTTTTCCATTGAATTAAGATTTTGTTCCATCAGTTATGATTGCTAAGGTTTTGTTAGTGATAAAGCGTTACTTTTCTTCAAATAATTTAGAAGATGTCAGTTGCATCGTGTAGTTACTTCATTACATAGCTTTGCTGGAGCCTTTATCTTTGAACAGGTAACATTAGAGAGAATTCACCAGTAACTTTGTGCTGTTGAGGGGTGTACCATTTCCTTTGCAGGAAAGAGACCTCTCATCCCCCGAGTGCCTTAGTTCTAGTGTTGTGTACTCCGTGCCTATGAGCTCTAGGTTTGAACACCTTGGTTGGTTGTCAACTTAAGTGTTTTATTTTGCTAGGGGAAGCTGGGCTGGGGAGGTGGTGGTGGGGGCTTCAAAACACTGTGAACAGTAGGGGGCAGCAAATCTAGTAAATAGGAAAGCAAACTTAGCTTCACCTGCACTTGGACAAATGGATAGACTACATTCTCCTTTGTAGAGACGTACTTCTAGAATAGAATCTGGGAAAAGGAGTCCATATCCATCATTCTGCTACAAACCTCAAATAGCAACTGCCTGTTATTTATCTATAACTATACATTTATATAAATGTTTATTAAATCCCGCTATTTAACAAGGCTTCCGGCTACAGTTCCAGCGAGCAGCTTGCTTGAATCTGTGCAAACAGTGACACGTCATCCTCTGCATCTCCGGAATGTGTGCCCAGTCCACATTTGAGTAGTGAGTAGTGCTTTTGTTTTACAGGCTGGGCGTGGCAGCTCACACCTGCCATCGCAAGCACTCAGGAGGCAGGGGCAAGAGGATGGTGAGTTTGAAGTCGGCCTGGGCTACATACCAAGACTTTGTCTCAAGAGAGCATAAGACAAAAACTTCAGCAAAATAAACCTCAACAAATAGATTCCCCTAATCCTACAAAAAGGACATGCCTGGCCTAGAACTGTCTCTTTGCTGAGGTTGATCTTTATCAGGTCCCTTTGGTTGTCATCAAATGTGTTCTGCGGCAGTCTGGAGCTACTGCCGAAGGACACTGAAAACCGCGGTCACCGACACCGATGAAGACAGTCGGATAACCGAAGGACACATATGAGGATAGTCGGATAACTGAAACATACGCCTACCAGCAAAGCCACTACTCCATCATTTCCCTCTTCGTCCCCTGTGAATATGGACACTTAGGAATCCGCTCGACGACAGTTACCTCCCTACATAATCCTCACATTGGCAGAAGAGTGCTGATGGACAGCTTGCTTTATTTCTGTCAGTTTTACAGACCTGACCACCTTCTGCTTAACACGAACCGTATCGCCCTCCAGTGTGAGACGAAGTGCTTAGACACACTAAAACCAGAGCTTCCACGTGACTGTTCTTAAAAGGCTCCCTCGGATGGGCAATTTAATGTCATGTTTTCCCAGCCTAAAAGCCCTTGGGTGTTTTTGGGGTCAGAGACACCCTCCTGCTCTCAGCCCTCTCAGTAAGAAGGCTGGATTCACTCTACGTGATCCTAAACACACCGGAGAACCCAGGAGTTTGTTCTTGCTCGGGGGCTCTTAAGCTGCAAGGCATGTGTTGCTATGCTTCCTGTTTATTTTGTTTCCATAGCAAATACTATTGCACAATGGGATAAGTTCTTCCTGGGTCAAACCATCAGATAAAACTTCTCAAATTCTTATGCTTTAATTCTCGGGTACTAATTATTCACCAGTGATTTACACTGCTTTTCAACTCATCCAATGTGTGTTCCTTTCTGCTAGTGTTATACGTAAGCACAGCTATTGTAGGGAAGGTAACAATGTCTTTGTGGGTTCTTTTCATTTTATTAAGCATAAAAACAATTAACATGGCTTATCGACAAGCATATCCAATTCAGATGATCTGTAATACTTTCATTAATATTAGCCCAGTAGAGTTGTATGATTGTCATTTGTCATCTGTATACTGGAAATATAGTTGAATCTGTGGATCAGGTCAGTTAAAGACAAATTTTTGGAGATTGCAAGACCTTTACAAGGAACAGACATTAGGCCTATTGAGTCTGCATTGAAATTTATAGCCAAAGAAATATTTCATTATTCATGATTATGATGATTTGATTATTGAACTTATGAGCTTCAAAGAAATGCATTTATGCTTTGCCTTCCTGTTAAAGCATATTAATAGACAGATATGCCCTCAATTCCTAAAATGGGTCCTCAATTCCTAAGGATTGATGCCATCTTATTTTGGTCAGGGTTTGAGGATTGCTGTTTGGGCAGACATGTTTACTTTGCTTCCTTCATGCCTCAAGGAATCAGAGAAGCTGAGCTAGCGTTATCGTAGAATTCCATCTGCTTCTTGATGGAGACTCAAGGGGCCTCATAGCAAGGTTCAGTCTCTCACCAGTTTTACCCACCAGCTGCAGAGGTAACATGAGTTCGCATTCCCTCAGTCACTCAAGGAGGTATTTACTGCATAGGTGCCACATGCCAGGCGTTGGGTGAGGCATGGAGGGTAGACAAATGTGGTGTCAGACAAGACACCTTCTGTCAGGGAACCTGTACAGAATACTCTCTGTATCCTTTACAGAATACAGTATTCTGTAAAGGATACAGTGAGGAGCCCAGAGAAGCCAACAGGCATGTGGTAAGGATGCCAAAGTGGGTTATCCTGTGTGCATCCAATAAGGAGAGCTACAAACCCACTGCTGAGGGTCAACAAGCCCCTAAGGAAAGTGTACCTCCGATAAGCCTTGGTGTATGCGTGTAAAGCTTCTAAGGGGGGGGGGGTGTTTCTCTGGAAGAAAAAAAAAACCCAGACCGTGTTAAGGTCTGATGAGAGGGGACTGAAAGCCCTTTGTGTAGCTGGCAGGGAGTGAAACCATGGGATTTTAGTAGGCTTTATTTGCTGTTGTTCTTTACTTTTTAAAAATTATATCAAAAGTTAGATTTTGCTTCAGGGACAAGGGAGAGTCAGGAGAGAACTTGTGACTGATAGGCTTCTTAAAAATTATCTGGAGACTGGCTACACTAATCAGGGGGATGGATGTATGGTGGCAATACAGACAGCAGACGGCGGTGGACCAGAAGGGGTATGTGGCCGTGACATTTCCTCCTGTGAGTACAAATGCAAGTTCATAGAGAGTGAGGGGGATCCAAGAGAATAGGGATGCTGACGGGTTCTCGGGAATTGAAGAGAACAGCACAGAATTGCCTAGCTGTTCGTATAATTTTTAAAAGTTAGAACCAAAAAGAGCAAAGGGGAGCTCTCAAAGTACCTCTGAGTAAAGCGACAGAAGACGCGTTCTTACGACTGTGAAATCCGTTTTGTGTTGTCACTCCTACCTAGCGAGACCACTCTCTTTCCCCTACAGTCTGAGCCTTCCGGACGCTTAGCTGGTCTCTCAAACACCCTTGTTTAATTTGCCTTTTGTTTTAAAATTTAAAGTGGGTTGAATTCAGGGTTGATATTTTAAGAAGGTAATGGTCTCACCCTATAAAAACGATAATTTTACAAGGCTTGCCCAAATTACATCTTTGCCTCTCTCCTATCATTTGTCAAGACTGGCTTTCAACAAGATGGCTTAGGAGGGGGAAGAATGTAAGCCTTCCATTCTCATTTCTTTCCAAGCTTCTAGCTGCTTCCATTCATCTTTTCCTGTGGCTGAGCAGATTTATCCATAGCAGAACCTCTGGTCTCCTGACCTCCCATCTCCTCAGACCACTTAAGAATCCTGGGCTCTCATGATAGTTACTCTGAACCCAGCTTTGTCATAAAGTATGGTAAGCACCAGCAACTTATTATAGTTAGTCACTGATCATACTATATTCCATAACAACCAAATTATGGTGATGGCAACTCCTAGCTGATGGTTTCCTGCTTGGAGGAACCAGTACGTGGTGATGAAGAACACCAAACCAAAGTTTGCCTAGGCTGAGCTGTTTCCAGCACATGCCCGCTATGTGGCCATGTGGCATTCAGCTAAAGCTGCTTCAGCCTCTGATCTGTAAAACTGGAAGTTTGTACATCTGCTTTATAGGGTTGTTGGGAACACTGCATGAAATATAAAAGAATTATTACTACTTATAGAGCCGGTCATGCAGCAGGTACCCACTTACAGAGACTCTTATTACTATCTGTGTTGTTGGTCCTTTAAAACAAGGAGCCTCCAAAGCTTTGTCCCAAAGGTCTGTAGAAACTTTCGCTACAATGAGGGGACCCATAAAGGAGCTCTTACAGGATAAATTCTTTAGATGTGCTTCCATTTTAGCCATCAAAAATTTCCTTCAGTCACATTGTCACCCTGAGAGCCTCATGAGTCACTAAAGCTTCTCTGTTATAATTTGAGATTCATCATTTTGTGATTTTCTCTTTCAGAATTAGTACTGTATTCCACTGAATTTTGGTTTGAAAATTTCACTGTTTTTCTATTTAATCAGACAACTTAGTGAGTGGGTTATAATCCAGAATCCAGAATCAATAATGTTTCCCCCTTTTCCGTTCCTCTGCTGCAATCTTATCATTCAAAGAAATTTGAGTTATTTGAAGAAAGGCAGTTGAGTTATGTGACTGGAAAATCTTTGAACATAGTTCTCAAGAACACAACCACAAATGCAGGGTTTCAAATTCTAAGTCAAAGACACTCGTGTTGGGTGTGGTGAGGTCACAGGTTGTCCAGCTAGATCTTGGGGCTGACCTTGACATCTATGGACTGTTGGAGGAACACTATGGAAACACAACAGGGTTAATCTGGACATACAGAGGAATTGCTGGATTTTAAAGAGGTCTTGAGGACACTGACTTCTGGGGGAGAATCAAGGGAACCAACATGATGGGCGAGAGGACCCAGGAGAAAAGGGACATGGAAGAAGCTGCTGTTAGCTTTAGTGGAGAGAAGTGGTCTCTTTCAAGTTCATACATCGTTTAGGTTCATGTATGTCCAAAATAAACACAAAGACTATAAAGAGAAATACAATCTTGATCCATTAAAAGTGGTAATCAATAAGAAAGCTTGAGGCTTGGTAACCTAAGAGGGATTTAATAAAGAACCAATTAAACATCTTGTTATGGAAAGTGTGTTTGGAAAATTTTTCTCTTAAGTGAAAGAAATGGTAAGAAACCAACATAGAAGTCAAGGGATTTATGGGCCTGCGTCTGTATATCAGGGTTATGGATTCGTGATTTTTCTCACGGGCAAGCTAGAAGAGCAATTAAGTGCTTCATGTAGAGGTGCTGTGATTGGGCACAGCTCGCTGTATGCTAATGATGAGCCCTGCATATATATATATATATATATATATATACATATATATATATATATAATATAAAATAAAATAAATGGGGTAAAATTCAGGTTCACTTGAGGACTGTGGAGGTCTAGCAAGCTGACTTTTTTGACCAATGACAAGTGCTTACGGGTCTTTCATGCTGCAGAATGGATGACTTCCCAGGTTCGTACTCAAAAATGCTCCTTGGCTCCGATCGGAATTTTCTGGTGTCCACCTTTCTGTCTGGAGGGTCCCAGTCATGCCTGTAAACAGACAGCAAACCACATGTTGAGATGTGCATGAAACACCCATGACGTAGCATCCACAGTCAATTCCCAAGGCTAATGTTAGCAGAGTTTATTGAATGATTGATTAATTGTGTGTGTGTGTGTGTGTGTGTGTGTGTGTGTGTGTGTACCCATGTTCATGTGCGTGCACACACATAGAAGAAAAACTTTTGGGAGTCAGCGCTTTTGGGGAGTCAATGCTTTCTTTCCACCACAGGTTCTGGGGATCGAATGTAGATCTTCAGGCTTAGGCAATGAGTAGTTTTCCTTGATGAGCCATTTTTCCTACCCTGAGAGATGAAAACAATCAAGCCAACCAAAACAAAACCCACACAACCAAAAAAAAAAAATCTCTTTGGCTAAAAATTGCTTAACACTAAAAATATGTTTAATAAGTAAATGACTTACATCAAGCGTAAATATGTTTAATAAAAAATTACTTACATCAGGCTATCCCTTTTAGCTCACTTTTCCTTCTACTTTTACCTGTGTGACTATGGCTGTAAAAACTCACAGAAGAGGTGACGCATGGATAGTGACTTGTTGCTAGACCCTTGGCTCCCCAATGACAGCTATGTGCATCTGAGTTTAAAATAAGTGGTAGTGTGCTCCATGCAGCTTTATCAGTTTAAATACCTGCTAACCTGGCTTCCTTGATCCAGAGGGACAAGGACTAATGGACATACACTGTTTGATCTTATTCTTGTAAATGGCATCTGAGTGCACACCTGAGAATTCCAACGGCATCCCTTGGGCTGGCATACACAGGGCTAGGCAGAGTGGTGTGGGAGACCCCTTGGCATGAGCCTTGAAACACTAAAGGCCAATATTTCTCTATCTGGGAACTAATCTTTTTCTGGCATTGATTCCATTGAGGGTCTGTCAAGGGCTCCTGGGAAGTACATTTTCAGAGAAGGGCTCATGACGTCAGGTTTTTCTTGGCAGCTAGAACTACATCAGAAAACTTCCTTCAGAGAGCAGGGAGGATTATTAAACGTGTATTGTTTACTTTTGTTTGAGGAAAAGAGTTTTTGATATTTTGAGTTAGGATATTCCGATTCCTATAGAATGGAAGGATATTCTTTCTCCATGGAATGGTGAATACAGAAGTGCCCTAAGAGAGAAAAATGAGGACCAAATCCTAGGTGTCGAGCCAATCAATGAGCTCTATCCACAGAGAGTCCTTAAACGTTCCATTTTAGTTTTCATATCTCTATGAAACTGTGTCCTGTTTGCTGTCTGAGAAACAGAACAACAGACAAGACAGTAAAAAATACTAAAAAACACAGTAATATAATAAATGTCCTTTTCCATTCCTACTTACTGATTACCAGTAGAGGTAACATAAGATTTGTCTTAAGGGGAAGTCAAGATTGAATCTTAGCTTGGACTTTCTGTTGATACAAGTAGAGCAAGTTATGGTAATATTCTAACCTGCTTCTTTCTCTGTAATGGAGCACATGTCCCATTGGGTTCTCATCAGAACAAAATGCTGTAATGGAAGGACAGTGTTTAGTCCAATGCTTGCCTCATAAGCAGCTGTCGGTAAAGATTACCATGAGCCGGGACGATCAGCAACAGTCTAACACAACGCAGTCAAAATGTGTTCATAAAAAGTTATTTGGGTGTGAATAGCTTATTTAAAACTGTTTCAGTGGAGAGGTGAAAATTAGAATCAGTTAAAATAACTGGTGGAAATGAGTCACAGACACTTGTTAAATATGCCTTATTTATGATTTAAGAATAATTTCTCTTGGCTTCTAAAAGATATCATAAAAGACCTGCAATTTCAAATCTGTGAAATTAGCTGCTTAGTCTCTTAGTGGGGCAGCAAGGGAAATCCATGCCAATTGTTTCCAGTTATTTTATGTAATTTTATATGGGTTTATCTTGAGACATGATGCCAGTGCGTAGCTTGGAAGTTACGCAGCTCAGGGTGGCCTTGAACTCCTGCTTCATCTTTCTAAAGACTGAGATTATATGAATGCTGTACCGCACTCTACCCCATTTCAGCTCAGAGTGCAGGGTGTGTGGAGCAAGTCACTACCACTGAGCCTCTTCTCCAAGGCCCACAACATTGTGTGTGTGTGTGTGTGTGTGTGTGTGCATGCGCGTGCACACGCCCACAACATAGTATATGTGTGTGTACATATTTTGTTTGTAGTACTTAGACAAATGTTACTTATGAACTGCATCTGTGGCCACTTTATTGCTTATTTGCACTCACTGAACAAAAAATCGAGTTTGTGTCCCTGATACATCAAGTTTAATTTGGAGCATTGTGAGAGCGTGACCGAGACTTTCCAGAAAGGGTTCAGCATAAATCTCAGCAGTGATGCTCGATACGGATGAAGACAGGAAGTCTTTGCATATATTCACTCCACCCCACTGGACTGATGCTTCACTGAGTGCCACTGTGAGTTGGTTTTTATCCTAAGAGAAGCCGTGTGTGTGTGTGGGGGGGAAGGATCCTTACTTTTCTGTCGAAGATTGATCTCTTGGCCGTGGTGGGACATGCGGGGGAGGCACTGGGGAAGGCGTCTCCTTGAAACCATCGGTGCCGTTGTCTGAGTGGCTCTTGGAAAGGGGTCTGTAGGTCTGGGTCTTCGCAGCAGGGTGTGACTGAGCACTGTAGGGCGAGTTGTACAGACCTACCACGAAAAAGACAGAAGCCAACAAAACAAGCAAATGACTTGAAGGCACCCTGAGTTGCTGGGCTCTGCACAACAGCCGGCAGTTTTGCAAAAATTATCAATAAGCATATTCATAATATGTACATTAGGTGGCAGATTGTTACTAATGTATCAACATTAATTTATGAATTATCACTCATTAATTAGATATCAATTCGTTTTGCACATAGGTACTGGTTATAGTAAATTATTCGTTGTTGTACAATTAATGAAAATTTGGGCTAGTTGGTAAAAATAAGCTTACAGCTACTCAGCAAGGTTTCTGCCCAATCACAGAAACTAACACCTTAGGCAAACTTTCAGAGGAAGATTAAAACAGCAGCTAGTACTTTGTAATGCTGACGTACATCAGACAGTTGATATGTTAATTGCAGTCCAACAAATATAGAACATGCTGTGTGCATGAGGTGCATCTCCCATGTGGGACAGGGGAGGGTAAACTCTCCCGAACAAGCACATACGAGAAGACGGGTGATTGGAAGGGAGTTTGTGGCAGTTAATAAAATCCAACGGAGAAAGACATAGTGAAAATGGAAGGAAGTGCGGAGGTGATGAGGGAGACAGAGAATGCATTACGGATCTCCTGGGGCTAGAGTTGGGCTGGAAGGATTGGCTCTGGTGGGTAGAAGAGGGCGGCAGGAGTGGCATGCAAGACACAAAGCTCTTGGGTATTAGAGGAGGTTATAGGCGTTTTGTTGGCTGACTGGATGATAAAATTCCCCGGCCTTTACAGGGTAACATAACTGAACTTCAGCTTATTAATTACCAGCGAGACAGACCCATTTTAATATTTAAAAGTATATAAAAATTCTGAGTTTCTCAGAGTCTCACTCTTGGCCTAAGTCTGTCTGTGCTTGACTACGTCTCTTCCAGGTCAGCATGTGTTTGTCTCCGTGAGAAGCTACTTGGGCAATACCTGCACTGAAGTGTTTTGGGGTTACCTCCACAGTCACTTCAACTTGTGAGGTGACTCACAGAGGCAAGTTTGGTGTAACAGGACAGGATGGGAGTATTCATTTTAATGGACTTTCTGAAATAATAGGGGGATGGGGATCCAGAATCTAACTCAGAGGTCACCAGAAGTCACCAGCATGACTTTTTTTCTTTCAATTTTCTTTCTCATTCATCTTTGTCGTTGAGTAGTGGAATCACTCAGTTAAAGGACTGGTTGCTGGCCATCAGGTTTTAGGAAGCGGGGGAGTCTCATGGAGTTTTCTGTTTGGGTGACAAGAGGACCCTAAATGAGCTATGGCTCATTTATGGGCTATGGCTAGGTCGGGTAGAATTTCTTGAGGAAAAACTGATGAAAGGGGGCATAGCTTAGGGGTCTCTCACACGACACGAAGACCACTCCACAAGAAACCAGCACATTCAGATCCATGCGGAATGTCCAGAGCTGAAGTCATTCCATTGTGAGCACTGGCAACTCTGAGTCAGAAAAGAGGCCCAGCCAAGAGCGAGGCTTTCACGGCTTTCAATGAATGGTTCCATTTTGGCGCAAGAGCCTGGACATGGTCGTAAAACACTTCGCTCGACTTGTTTTGGGGGGAATACTATCTGCGAGGTCTTATGCAATTATAATCACCCTTTCTGCTGATAAAAAGATCTTTATTTTGTTGTGTAACTGGGCCACAGTCTGTTCTTTCACCCTGGCCCTGCACTGTGTGGTTAAACATTCTTGAAGTTGAGTTGAGAATAAACAACCGGGCAGGGGGGGGGGGAAGGAGGGGGCCGGGGGGGGTGATGACGGATGTGGAACAGTGTTAGTTCTCATTTCCAGGAGAAAGGATCAATCTGTTGTTAGGCATGCTCTGAGGAAGGAAGCAAGGCCTCCCCCTCATCACAGGGACTGACAGCATGGGGTGGGGGTGGTATGACGAAGGACTGGGGTTCTTCCCCACAGTGGAGTGTGACTGGTCATCGCCAGCGAGGAGAGCCGTCCTACCTGCGTTGTATGTGTAAGGAGTATTATACATGTCTGTGTCCTCATCTAGAAAACGAAACATAAACATGATAATCCAGATTCTGCCACCTTGTCGCCAAGACGGCAGAAGGTCAGAGAAATGACAGAAACACACCAGCATAAAAAAAAAAAAAAAGCAATCAATATTTTTTTCTAGCATATAATAGCACTTTGTATTTCCAAACATTGTACTCTGGGGCTCTGCGGAGTGACCTTCTTGTCTACAAAGCAATGTACCTTTCTGCCCTGGTCATACATGCAGAACTGGTCCCTTGTCCCTATGTCCCTAGGCAGATTCAGTGTCAGCTGCATCACAAAGTGTTTTAAGGTCTCTCATCAATGGTACTGAGTGGGAATCAGGAGAAGCCACTACGCTTGCTCTTCTGGTAAGAAACAGGCCTGGGCAGACAGGAGCAAAAGGGTACAGTGCCCCAGTGTGCATGTCGACAGAGATGGACAGAGGGCTAAGAGTAGAACACCTGGTGAACTCCAAGGACATCTCTAAGGAGGCTTCTTGGTAGCTCATGGTTCAGGAGAGGCACACATCTGTGATTTAGGGGTAAAGGGAGACTAGGAGACATGCTGTAAAAAAGGGGTCATCAAGTTTACTGGGGTCTTGATGTTTTTGTGTGATGCAAGTCTAGATAAAGCTGAGTATATATCCTTCAACTCATAAGCGCTTGATTAAAAAAAAATAACAAGACAAAACACAGAGGAACATACATACCCGGCTTGTGGACCATGTGAATTTGCTTGAACATTGTCTTGTACCAGTCCTTCGGCCGGTCGACTGTCTGTCAAAGAGAACATCAGAGAATTACCATCCCTATCTGTTAGCTTTGGGTTTAATGATTCAGCTGCTGCCTCTCTCTTTACCCTCCCAGCTGATATAAAGGACAGACATCCTACTGTGACCATGAGTCTACAATTCTCACTGCCCCCAAAGTAGCTTACCTCACACCCTAAGTAATCAGGGGCTCCGGGTGGCACATTCTGAATGCTGGCCTGACATTACCAAGGTTCGAATCTTTCCCCCTTATCCTGCTGCCAAGTATCTGAGACCACTTGACTGCAAGCACGTGCTATGGGCTACCCATCACTGTGTGGCATGGGACTGCCTTTTCTCCCTGAAGACTCTAACCTTGTGGGCCTGGCCTGTCTTCAGAACCTCTGCAAGACTGCTTACGATGTTATAACTCTTATAATAAATCTGCCTCGGTCCCAGACCCCCAATCTGAGACCTCACACCATCACATCACCACCCCAGGGGGAGGTCTTCACTGATACTATTCGATATTTCCAACAGTAGGTTTGCATTTCTATATGATTTCATGGCAATTTCAGCAATTTATCCTATTTACACAGTTTGTAAGCAGGGTATCTCACATTTACTGAATTGGAACATTCTGTGGTATGGTTTTATTTATTCAATTCAGCTGTGCCCAGTAGTAGATAGTGAGTATTGGATGAAAGTTCAGCCTCTTGTTATTATTATTACTATTATTATTATTAGTAGTAGTACATATATATATGTCTGAAGCAGGGCTTCCCTATGTATCCTGAACTGGCCTTTAACTCATGATCTGTCCACCTCAGTCTATCATGTCCTGGGATTAAATGGATAAAACCATGGGACCAGCTTATTACTGTGTGTGTGTGTGTGTGTGTGTGTGTGTGTGTGTGTGTGTATAGGGCAGAGGACAGTTGATGTGGGATTTCCCTCTGTATGCTGTAATTACCATTTGATAAATAAAGAAACTTCTTTGGGTCTATAGCAGACCTATAGGGAAACAGACTAGGCAGGAAAAACTAAGCTGAATGCTGGGAGAGAGAAGGCAGAGTCCGAGAGAAGCCATGTAGCCCTGCTGGAGACAGACGCCAGAACTTTAGCCGGTTGTAAGGCACAGTCGCGTGGTGATACACAGATTATAGTTTCTGTGTAATTATTTTGGGGCTAAGCAGCCAGGAACAAGCTACCGACCTCCTTACTACAGACAGTCTTAGATATTGTTCCTCAGGAAGTGATCCTGGTTTTTGATAGAGTTTCCCTGGGACCTAGGCCTTACCAATGTGGGTAGGGCAGCCCCAGGGAGCCTTCTGTCTCCACCCTCCAGTTCTGGGGTTACCAATGTGTGCCATCATGCTGCTTTCTATGTGGGTGCTAGGCATGGAATTCAGATCCTCATGCTTGCCCCGCAAGCATCCAACAGATCCATTTCCCTATTCCGTATCATTATTCTTAAAATTTTCTATTGAGTGTTCTGTGAAGACATTTAAAAATTAGCTAGGGGATATTTTTGACTCAAGTGGTAGATACTCTGATCAGCTTCAATGAAGACAAAATTAGTATTTACTAGTCTAAGTAACAAAAATACTGAATTTATCAGACAATGCAAAGTCATAGACTATCTGTGTGTGTATGTACACGCATGTGTGCAGCTATGATTAGATTTTAAAACATCTATGACAAGACATAAAAGTACACATAACTTTTGCCTTGCTAAATTATAAACTCTGTGAGTGTAGGCATTCTGTAGGCATGCCAGGCTTTAGGTGTGATAGGAAATTAATGTCCAGTCATTAAACAACCTTTGAACCTTGGAGCCTTTAGTTGCTAGTTAATGCTTCCTGGAAGTTGGGATCTGAGAAAGCTATGCATCTCTTCTTTTCTTTGGGTGTGTGTGTGGGGCATATGCTTGTGTGCACAGGTATGCATGCCCCTGCAAGCAAGCAGTAGCTAGAGATAGATGTCAAACAGCCCCCTCTTTGACTCTGTGCCTTATTCTTCTGAGTCAGGGTCTCTCACAATGTGTGTTAAGGGCCTTAGAGTAGTCCTTCCACTATAACAGATCTCGTTAACTAAAGGCAGCGGGGAAACTCCAACACCTGTGGAGTGAAATGCTGAGTGAACCTATGGGATGCAACTCTGTCTTACAGTCTGTGAAAATGTACATTCTTTTTTCTAACTGCAGCGCAGCAATTTGCTCAGCAAGATCTTCATCTCGACTTTATCAGAGCTAGTTGGACCAGAAGTTAACCATTCTGTCTGTGCACAGGCAACTTAAAAACATCTGATTTTTCCAAGGTCGTGGCCCTGATTTAAAATATTTGTTAGAATATGCTGTGCTTGGTTGATGTCCCTGGGAAACCAGTGGGGGAACATCTGTTTGGGGAGGGGAAACTGAGGTTGGGTCCGGATGTAATATAGGAGAGGGTAGAATTTAAAACAACAACAACAAAGCATTAGTTAGGACTTGTAAGAGTGGAAAGTATTTGACATTTTATATTCTGACTTTTATATATGTGGTCATTGAATTTTTTCACCTAGAAACTGTTAGGCAGTGCTTACATTTATTTTGAGTTCTGGAAGTAGACAATTCTGACAGTCACTAGACATGTAAATGAACATCTGTTTTGTTGAGAATCACATATGCATTGTAAGCTTCTTCTACAATGGGTGCTTGAAGGCATCATTGATTAAATATATGGCCAAATGATAGGAACTAGTGTGTGTGTGTGTGGGGGGATTATCTACAAAGAGGCAGGAATCTGCTGTTTGCTGGTTCAAACAGAATAATGGAACATGGGGGCCAAGGCTTAAGTCAGTGAGGTACCTGCCATGTAAGTATGAGAACCTGGGCTCCTGTTTCCAGCACCCACATAAAAAGCTGGGCATGGAAGTGGGCTCCTGTAATCCCAGCTCTGAGGAGGCAGAAAATAGTTCTGGGTTTGGTGAGAAAGACTGGGCAGCAATTGAAGAATATACCCAGTTTTGACTGCTAGCTTCTCTGTGCACACCCAGGCACACAGGTACACGTGTCCACATACATGCATACACACACACACATATATATATATATATATATATACATACACTCAAAATATTTGATGGAATATCTTTAGGGGTCATTTACATTTCTGACGGCAGGCCCCTCTTTCATTACGCTTTGTTTCTGTCTTACTTTTACGCTATTAAAGCCACAAGCACAAAAGGAACATACAACTGTGCATAAAAATAGTTTCTCACTATACCTGGATGCAGCCAATGGGGACGGGGAGGCTGAATAAGGAAGTTGTATTGCTGTATATGGCAATGCATCGTGACAGACAGCATTGTTGTCTGCACTTGCCAGAGGGCCTATATCAGGCAGGATCCCACAGTTATGCCATCTGCTAGCTTTATATGGTGAGTACAGAGAAGCCAAGAAATGCCCAGTCAGCTGGCAGAGAGACTGTGAGGCTGGTGAAGCAGAGACTTGCAAAGTCAATGTCCCTTCCTAAAAGAAGTTCTGTGAGCACTTCCGTTCCTTTTGCCAATGCCATCTGGGAGCATGTTGTGTCTCACACCGAGACTATGAATGCTGAAGTCCATACTTGGGAGGTTTACTTTTGGATGTGTCCTTCAGAAGCATTTTGCATAGACTCCCTAACTCCTGCCCAGCCGTCATCCATGGCCTTTTCAAAATAGGCTTCAACTTCCACCTTCTTCTAGTCATGAAATATCAGCACTGTACACTAATTTCACATGCAGACATTTTTTAAAAAGCCATTTTCTACATATAACACAATAATAATCCTATTCTACTTTTGGTCCTGGAACCTCTACAAAAGCCAGACAACTATTACGTTTGGATTAGGAGAAAGAAAGCTTGCATGCCTCTTAACTAGCCAGGCTTCGTACACAGTCTCGTGGGCTCAGAGCCCTGGAGATTTGTGTTACTGTTTTGAAGTTTTCGGCAGGAAAAGGCTGATGTACACATCCCAGCCACAGGAGAAGGGATGCTCTCCCTCCATCCCAAGAACTCAAAAGTAGCAAGTATTGAGTTATTCTTCTCAACAGTTCCTGGACCACTTCATGATATTCTGTTGCCATGGTAACAGTTACCTAGGAGGATACCCCAACATGGCACGTGGAGTCAGTGCTGGTTTACATGTGCATACTGAGCAGGAAGCTAAAGCAATTTGAGTCTGATCATCGTTACTTTCTATAAGAATGAGGAAAGAAAATAACCTTGGATATTCTTGGCCCAGGGACGGCAGGATTCAAGATTTATAAATACAGATCTATACTTGGATGTGTGATTTGTAAGGCTGCAGAGTAGTAAACATGAGCAGGATCCCTCTTGTACAGTTTTAAAGGTCTGAGCAAGTTATACAGAAAAAAAAAACCAGGGCTCCTTTTAAGGAACTTTTGCAGTGGCTAATAATTCACTTTCAATTTTCTGGAAGGGAAATTCACATCACCTACTTAGCGGACATATATGGCTGCTTATAATTTGGCAATAGGTCATATAAACCTTTTATAATATTAATTGAGTTTTGTTTATCATCTCCAACATCTTAGATTTTTCTTTAAAAACCTAACAAAGACTTGCGAGTCAAACATGACAGATTAAAAATCTACCGATGAAAAAGAATGGATCACATTAAATGTCCATTTTTACCTACCATTTACTAACTTAAAAACACATCTGAAGGTTTTAGATAGAATCTCCCAGACAGCATCTGTAACTGCACAGAAAGCAATGACCTCTTAGGCTTTCTGTATACTGTGTCTCAAGGGCTAACAGGCATAATCCATGACACCCTTCCTGTCTGAGTCATTATCCCCTCATTACCATGGGAAAATTCAAATTTAGTCATTTTGAGTCAGAAATTCTGAAAGGAAAACAAATGTTCAAACACTGCCATCAGAAACATACAACTGTCATTAAACGGAGTGGATTAGTCACAAGCCCTAAAATATGGCCATCATCATTTCAACACAGATTTTTTTTTGAGCTTTAATAGTCACATTCAACATCCACAACAATCTGAGAAGTCTAAATTCCAAGCGTATGCTATACAGATATACTTCTTTTTGGCTTCAGCTACAATACTGAAGCCAAGAATAATCAATTCTGAACTCATGTCTGTATATAAAACACGATCACTGCAAACTCAAAAAACAGCTCATACTTCATCTTTCACCGTTTTCAAATGTTTCCTGTCTCACCATTGCGTCTCTCCTGATATCCGGCCCATTCTTTTGCTAGGTCCCTTACTGTCCCTGGTTCCCGTGTTTCCACTCAGGAGACGCTGCTCTTGGCAGCATCTCAGCCATTTATGTGGGCACACAGGCAACGTCCATGTAGCTGGCGCTCCCTCCTCTCACCCCCACCAAGTTCACCTGCAAAGACGCCGTGGCTCTCATCCTGGCTTCCCAGGTCTTCCTTCCTCTGCTACCACAGACCTCCTCTTGCAATGGACGTGGTCAGCACACAGCTGCCTGCCTAGGCTCTGCTGCTCCGGAGCATTGCCAGAAAGGGCTGCCCCGGCACACTGAGTAACGCTTTGGCAGAGTTTAAAGACTAAAAAAAAATGCCCTCAACACTTTGACTTATCATCCAGGGAGCTCGCAGCAGCTCAGCAGAGGAGGGCATGCAAATGTTCCTTTTTTTTCCCCCACAGGCAGTTTTTCCTTCCCATGATATTACCTCCCTTTCCTCCAATCATCTCACCTCCCAAGCCCCAGTTGACAGTTACCCATCCCTTGGCGTGAACTCACATCCATTTCGAGAAACAAGTCGCTTGTCTTTTTACAGTGCATGTGGGAATTGGATGCTGTAAAAAAGGACCTACTCACTTCGCCCCTTTCCCCTTTTCCTCTCTAGGCTCACCTCTCCTTGATAGAAAGTTAAAAGTGGAGTGTTGCTATTTAACAAAACCCACAGTTTCATGATTTCCAGTTCAAACGGAAAACAAGATTGCGTAGTTGTCGTCCCTCCGCAGTTTCCTCTCTCTGCCACACAGCCTGGCATTCATGGGAGCTCCGATGGCTCAGAGGACAACCGTCATGCTATAAGACCCTAGGAATGCATGACAGCATGCACAATCCACCCTTTGTGAAGTTCATGGGCAGACCCGGAAGGACACACGTGCTGGCATGGCTTACCGTTCTAATGGCTGTGGGGATGCCGGACTCGTCCACGGGGCCAATCCCTGGGTAATGCGGGGCTTTGATAACTGTCACTCTCTTCTCTTCCTCTGAGGATCTGTAGAGTGGGATGGAGCCTCCCATGGTGCCGTCCAGAGACTGGGCATGCTGGGAATAGGTCTCTGCAGAATCTGTGGAGGAAACACAGTGAGAGGGCGCATCCCGGATGCGCACACAGACTATAAATTAATGGTGGCTCTTGTACATTGATGGCCACCCACAATAAACCCCACAGTTTTAGCTCTTTGCCTTTTAACATATCTACGCCATCTCATTCAGAAAGACCTCACCATTTTACAAAGAAGGGTAAGAGGAAGAGGATGGGCTGAATGATGTGGGCAGCCACGTTGGGGGGGACCACTGAGCATGCCCTACCTCACTTCCCTTGTAGTACTCTTGGAGGGTTAGGATGAGGGGGGACAAGAGTCACCTTTATAAATGTCCTTAAGTGGTTACTCACACATGACTCTTGTGAAGCTGCTGACTGCCGTATGAGGAAGGAATCAGAGGTAACTTTTGAGAAGCAATAGGCTTATTGAGCTAAAGAATGATTCCATAAAAAGAAATTGAAAATAAAATTTAGGTGTTTTTTTATTTTTATTTTTTATTTTTTTTAGATCTAGACATACAGTAGCAAGTGAAAGCTTATGGGTAAATAAGTGCTTTTGAGTGATTACAATGTATTGAATTTATTTAATAATATTTATTTAATATTGTTGGCTTTAGGAAAATACCCATGTCATGACTTTTTATCTTTTGAGCCGGACAATTGTCCTAAGGATTTAAGTTACATGAGACTTAACAAAATTCCATCCTCATGTTAATATTATGAATGTCTGGAATACTCTCAGGGGTAACAGAGACCATATATATGACCTAGTCTACTCATCCTAAGTTAAAAATATAGTTTTGGAAAAAAACAACATTATTGGTGGGCACATCATACAATAGTGATGTGACTGCTGTTGTGAAATTTCAGAACTTGGTGAACAGGACTGAGTCTTCATTTAGGCTTTGCGTGACCTGCTTTAGCTGGCCTGTTTTTGAGTTCTCTGTGAAAGCTGAATAAGTCTTATGTTTCAGGCTAGCATTTGCTGATTATATTTATATATTCATATATATGTGTGTGGAGTTCATTTTCTTACATATCTATGCTTTACAATATTTATATCATGTATAGATAGCATAATGAACTTTATATTATACATATGAATGTGTTTTCCAGGCAGAACACGTAAAGTATCACCAAAAAAAGCCTTTTAAGGTTGACTCATTTTCACATGGATATTTAGTGTTATGTTCTCGCTAGATTGATATCCATTATATCGTTATAACTGCTATAATTACAGTCATTTTCAATTTCAAAAGCTTTTCAAGGCACTTTTGAATTGAATGGAACTGAAGTGCCTCATGTGTCATTGGTTGGTCATACAAATCCCATCTCCCCAAGCTGTTCTAAACGAATCACAGTGCGTCACTTCACCCTGGTTGACTTTTTTTATTTTAATTCCTCAAAGGCCTTGATGAGATAGCCACAATGCTAGGATTTTTGTCAGCAGCCAGACTCTTCTGAACACCCAGAAGGTGCCCTGGTCCTAGCCTAAGAAACAGTATCAAGTCTGTCTTCACGGACAATTCATATGACCATACAAACATGCAGCTTGCGTGATGAAAGCAATGTCTTTTTGTATTTCTCTTATATAGCCCATAGACTGTTGTGTTTGTGATTCTTTGTCTTTGACTAAAGCTGAAGTTCACCTAGGGCAGAGTGGACTTGTAAATTCCACTGGCATCATTGCCTTGGCCAATTGGAAGTTGTTCAATGTTTATACAGGAAATTTCTTTCCATGTTAAACAGCTTATGTGTAAAATCTACTCACTGGTTAGGTCTAAAGTCAAAGCCCGTCTATACTTGAGTATTTATATATTTTTTTATTTGGTAAACTGGGGAAAACTGTTCACTAAGACAGGCAATGGGATAAAGAGTCACATTTAATGATTTTTTAGGAATGGCCGAAATAATTTAGAAAGTTTCATTTTCAGGTATAATAATGCATAATTGCATCACAAAATCTTGAAATAGTGGAACCTCTTATAAAACTGAGCTGCGGACTGGTTGTCAAAGAGAGGAATTTGGCACAAGCAAGCTCCCCTTTCTCACAGTCTGAAAGGAGATCATTATGAGCTTCAGAAATGGCTCCCTGGAGCAGCATTAGAAGAGGCCCAAGTATACTGAGACTTCTTTAATGAGTCCCATGACTATTAAAACCTTAGTGAAGTTTTGTTGACCATGGAAGCTGAATTCTACCATGAGTGGGTTTGAAATCGACATGATGTGTTCTTTAGTAAGCCTGTGGTATCATAGTCGTTCAGTTCAGAGTCAATGTGAGACATGGGAAAGGGATTTGCTACCAACTACGGAATGGTGTACAGTCCTGTGTTCTAGATTTTTATCTCTGTTGCTGATCTGTAGTGTTTGCAAGATGGTCCCTCTCTTTTTGAGATGTTCATGTAGGTGTATACACTCCTGGGCGTCCTTTCTGCTCTGTTCTTCTGAAAACTTTCTAGGTTCTCAAGGTCATGAAAATGGTTTCCATCCTAACATCCCACAATGGTTCAGTTTGGTAAGATTTTTCAAACAAGGTTTGGAATTTTTACATTGAATTTTTAGCAACTAAGAAATAGTTGTTACATTATTTTTAAACTATGCTAATTTATTTTGCTACATAAGAATGTTTCTATCTTTATGTAGCTCAAACTTTTTCCAGGAGGCTCTAAAGAGTTTACAAGACCCACAAAATTATATGCTTAAAGTTTTGAAATGAACTTTTATATGTTCATTGTTTACATATAAACATGTATAAAATCTACTTACAGGTTAGATCTAAAGTCAAGGCCAGTCTATGCTTGAGTATTTATAGATCTTATTTGGTAGACTGGGGAAAACTGTGTCCACTAAGGCAAGCAATGGGACAAAGAGTCACACTTAATGGTTTAGGAAGTAATCAGTTTTGTTGCAGGAGGAGTATAACAAAAAAAATAATTAGATTTATCTATTTTATGCTTATGTGTATGTATGTACACATGTGTGCTTGGTGTCCTCAGAGGTCAGAAGAGGGTGTCAGATCCCTTGAAACTGGAGTCACGGAAGGTTGCAAACCATCATTTGGGTGTTGGGAATGGAGCCTGGGTATTCTAGGAGAGCAACAAGTGGCCTTAACCACTGGCCCACCCCCTCAGAACCAAGGGCCTTGTCTTCGCCAAACTTTTAATCTCCAAACGATTAAGAACTTGTTTCTATAAACTGTAGGATCTTCACTGAAGGGAGTTCTCCTTCACTTCCCCCAGCCTCAGTGCTGACTGCTGACCTTCGAATCTCAGTTTGGCAGTTTACAATAGTGTGATCCAGGACCTCACTGTGTGACTGTAACCTATCCCCTTTTACACTGTTTTAATTGTTAAACAATTTTCTATAGCCATAACTAAAGAAGATTCTAGAATGAACATTCTTCCACAAAGGAACAAGTCACCTCAATAGAAAAGTGCTACATTAGCGTTTTCTGGGTCCCAGAAGCTCCCTTATCTTGTCATATTAAAGTTGGCATGGAAATCATGATTGCAGTACTTACCAAGCGACCTGCCATGCTGCATGATAAGGCTGGAGTTGAGCGAGGCTGGAAGGGAGTACGCGGAAGGGGAGAATGGCCTTTGATAGTAACTGACCGGACTCACAGCACCGCCAGAGTTGCCATTGATGGTTATCTGGCTCTGAGAAAAGCACATGGACCCCATTATAGCACACGGTTCCCTATGAACGTCACTCCGTTAAATGACAGCAAGAATTTCCAACCACAGGACGGTAATCAACGTCAAGGCTTTTACTAATTTTGAAAACTGATGTCAGAGGGACAAAGTACTTGGCTGTTTTCCATTTTCTCCATCCTATTCTTCATGTGTCATTCTTTTATGTTGTGTGAGGGCATCTGAAGTGGTTAGGAAAAGGGAGAGCAGTCAGGCAGCAGGCACACCGCTCTGATTTTAAGGGTGCCACCAACAGGGGTCACTGCCAAATGGGGAGGACAACTGAGCTCTCACAACCTGGACTTAAGCAGTCACAACTCCCTGGCATCATTCCGCATGGCGGATTTGAGATGAATGCTCTCTGACAGGAGGGGGGGGGGCTGGTTCACAACTCAGTCAGAATGCTCTCTAATGAATTAATGTTTCCAAAACAAGGTAACTAACTAACACAGCAGGCAAGTGTTCGGGTTTATGAATCATGAAATGAGCTATTCTAGCGGTCACATACCTGGTAGACCATTGTCAAGATGTCAAAACACTGGCTTCTCCTTGCTTCAACTTCACTTAGCATTCTGATCTCCTAATACACTGAGTTACTTGTTTACATCTGAATATTTTCTAATGCTACCCGACGCTTCTCATTGAGACAGTCACACATGGTGCTTCTCTTGTGGTTGTTAAGACATGCAACTTGGCATTGATGACCTAGCAGAGAGTCACAGGACACATGCTGGGACTGAGTTGCACCAGCCTAGATCAGAGTCTCCAGGTCAGGGCTATTATGCAGAGCATACATACCACTGAGAATTATGCACACTGAATAATGCATGCAAGTGAGTTAAAACATTAGTAAGGATATTTAGTTCAAAGAACATTACAGATGAGTAATATAAGCATAGAGAGGCACAGACAAAGAGACTCATAACTTTCAGACTCTTCTACTTTTTTTTTAAACAAAATAAATTTCAACTACATAAGAATGAAACACAACAGGTGAGTGAGTGTATGTGTATGACCTCACTCTGAGATAATGATCCAAACGAAAGCCAATTTACTTGAAAGTCATATCAACTAAGTCCTAAAATCAATAAATATTCAATTATAAGGACGGCACTAAATATAAGCTGTTAGAAAAATTCTCTTATTTTCTAACCAGCCCCATGTTAAGGACCTTTTAAACCAGACATTTAGGCAAGTGTAGAATACAGGAAGGACCTTTACATAGCTCTGCTGAGCAAGCTACAAATATTTTTTGTCTCTTTTTCTAAATCAACTTTGATGTGTTACGATAATGAATGTAAAAAATACAGAATAATTCTTATTAAAAACTAAGGTTTCTATAACAGCTGAGTATCCCTTATCCAAATTCTTAGGGACAGAAGTATTTCAGACTTCACACAGCTTTGGATATGGGGTGCTCATAAATACCTTTTTTGGGAGGTATGGATCTCAAGTCTAAATATGAAATCAATTTATTTTAATAGACAATTTATACTTATAGTCTGAAGGTAATTTTATAAAAAGATTTCAGTGCCCTTGAAGCTTTTTTATTTCTATATTTTCTATATACATGTACTTTGTCTGCATGTATGTCTGCACACCAAAAGAGGGCACCGGATCCTATCATAAGGTGGTTGTGAGCTTCCATGTAGGTGCTGGGAACTGAACGCAGGTCCTCTAAGAGCCAGTGCTCTGAATCAGTGAACTATTTCTCCAGTCTCTAAGTAATTTTTTTTTAATCACACGTGAAGTCAGGTATGGAATTTTTTAACTTACAATGTCATGTCGACACTTAAAATGTTTCAAATTTTAAAAAATAATAGAATTTGGATATTTGGATTAGGACTATCAAACCTATATATAATACTTAGGAAATGTGAATTACTCTGGTGACTGCCAAAGCACCAATTAGAGATAAAAGGATAAACATTGAAAGCAGATTTACTTTTTTGATCATATTAAGTTAATAATTCTCCATAATAGCTTCTGGAGAGTTCATGTGCAATATACTGATAATTGGCCTGCCTTCAGTTCCAGACACCTCTGATGGCATACAGACACTAGATAGTATATATACGTGACAGTCCAAAAGGGCTTTAACTAAGGGAACTTTTTTGGCTGAAGGGCCTGATAAAATTCCTTAAAGTTATTAAAAGATATAAAAAATTTTTTTCCCAACCTAGGACACAGAAGGGACCCACACCTGAGGCTACAGACTGGTTATCTGTGGCCAGGGGTTTGGTTGGGTCATTCCCAGAAAATAAATTTTATATCCAGCCACTTGATGAATACTCAACCACCCTCCCAAACAATTGAAAAGAGGTACTCTTTAAATTTTTATGTAGTTGTAGAAATTTAAAACAATATATATATAGCTTGTGGCATTTCTCTTGTATGCAAATTCAAGGTTTAGAGTGTTGTGCCGTGACAGTATCTGGAAACTATGTAGCACAACTGTATTTTCCCTTTGACAGAACCCATCAAGAGTTTATGAGCGTTCAGAAAGTCTCTCCCTCTCTGCTCGAATTGGCAGATGCTCAAAGCTGTGCATCCTGCAATGGACATCACAGTCTCTTCATTGACCGAGGAGCTCCGTGATAAGAAGGAGCAGCATCTTGGCCACTCGTTATCCGCTGACCAGTGACCGCTGAATGAAATTATAGACATGGCCATGATAGCACGTGTATGAGAACTATATAGTGCATAAATGAAAGACAAATTGTTGAGATAATAAAGAAAAACATTTTCATAAATTTCAAAACTGGGATGGTTCAGGAAAAATATCTCAAAACAACCTCAGGCTATATTTCTATAAGATGGGCTAAGACTGTTTACGTCATCCTCTCCTATGGTGACAGAAGAGCTCACCGGAGGTGACAGTCATCAAAACAGCAAAAAACAACCCTTAGAGCTATGCGGTCAGAATCACTCACGGGAGAAAGATAGTGCATAAACTATTATTAACCCAGGACACAGTGATATGTCTTAGAGAATACATCTTCCATGTATTAATGGTAAGTTACAATATTAGAAACATTTTGGACTTTATAATTTAACCATAATAATCGACTTATTTATATTTCTGATAAGTTCCTTAGAAATAAACCACTTTATAGCACAGAAAAACAGTCAGAAGCAGACCACTTTAGAATTGCCATAAATAGCACCTATGTGTAAGAAGGGAATATCAGCAAAACTTTTAGCACCGGTGGGCTTAGTGAGGAGCACTCAATAGCTTTTCCTAACAGATGGTAGAGAGTCGGTTTGCTAATCAACACCTATGCAGATAAAAATGCGCAGCTACGAAACGCAGCTAGCAAACAAGTACAGACCTTAAAAAAATGGTGGCGGCAAAGGAAGGAAGAATAATTACGTGAGTGGCAGCAGGGGTTGCTAGGGTGATGCCATCTGCCACGGCAGCTCTCTGACCCCGGGTTGGGAAAGGTATCTCCAAGCAATCAGTGGTGTCAGAGTTGCCCAGCTGTAGTTCAGCCAGAATGGCCGTGGAGGACTCACTCTCAGATTGGGAGGAGTGCTTGATCAGGGAAGAGTCTGTCCCGGGAGAGCGTGTGACAAGGCTGTGCATAAGGATGTTTATACAAACAAGCTGAGAGGCCCTGGGTTGGAGGCAGGCGGGAAGGCTCCAGACCATCAGGTGACTGTGGGCTGGAGCCACTGCCTTGTTAAAATTGGGCTGGTGGAAAGCAGTCAGAGACGGGCATGAGGGGCGCGGCACCTGGCGTGCTTTCTCTGTGTGTCTGTGAAGCATTTGCCTCCAACACATTGGCAGTTAATTGCTGATTTTTAAGCTGAGTTTGAGGGAAAAGAATCAGGAGAGGAAGGGTAAATCACTCAAAATAAGAGTATCTTGTTTTACACCATGACAGAGGAGGTGAAGTATTGGCTTAATGTGCAAACACGAAGGAAATACGTTTACATGGGTTAGGTGTTGAACACACAATATGGGGAAAAGCATGGAGGCATGAAGAACATGGGTCTGGGGCATTTGGGGAAATGCAACGTAAGCGTGGGTAAGGATGAGAAAATCTTGACAGGACGGAACTTCCTCCTTAGCAGCGTTCAGGTTTTGTCCTAATGACAGTGAAATGATATCAACCTGCCTGTTGCTTGGCTGAATATGTCTTTCAAGAAAAATCTTGGAGCCCAGTTCTTCCTATTGCTTCTCCACTGTCAAAATAGTCCCCCAATATAAATCCATTTGTTTTATTTTCTTTCCTGACTTACTATTTAAGTTGATCAAACTAAAACCAATTCCTTGGAAAGGGGGTTTCTGTTCACTTTCCACTCACCAAATCTGCTCAGGGGGTTCACTATGAAATACAAAAACAATTGTATCTTTAAAATGCTAGCAGTTAGCAGTGGTGCTGATGTGTAAAAAGAAATGAAAACAAAACTTGGTCACTGACAATGGTTAGAGTGGACCTAGGTTAGTTGGAGCTACCGTTGGCATTGAGTCTTAAGAAAGGAGAAAGAAACTGAAGGGAAAAGAAAAGGTTTAAGAACTCTGAGCCTACACAAAACCCAAGAGTTTGAACACCAGGAAGGAACCAACCAAGCAAGGAGAGAAAAGACACATACCAAAGGTTTCTGTTGGCATCTGCTATATCCCTGATGACATCAGATGTGATGCTGTGCATCCAACTCCATGAATGGACAAGTAAGACTCATTTCCCTTCTTACCTAGAGGACATTTACTTTTCTGTCTTTTGCTGTGCGGAGTGTCTGAGGTATATAAGATGGCTAGAAATATTATGTAATACTAGCACAAAGATAATGGAATGAGCAGGCCTATATAAACTCTTAGATACTGCCTAGTAAAGATTTTAATGGTACCCGTTGCTATTTATGGCCAACCATGATTTTCCAGCTATCTGATGTCATGAAACCTGTTGGTTTTATTAAAGCCATATTTTTCTATCACTTTTAATTAAATAGTGAAAAGTCTA